TGGAAATAAAAATAAACAAATGGGACCTAATTAAACTTAGAAGCTTTTGCACAGCAAAGGAAACCATAAACAAGACGAAAACACAACCCTCAGAATGGGAGAAAATACTTGCAAACAAAAAAACTGACAGGGCATTAATCTCCAAAATATACAAATAGCTCATGCAGCTCAATATCAAAAAAACAACCCAATTAAAAAATGGGCAGAAGACTTAAATAGACATTTCTCCAAAGATGACATACAAATGGCCAACTAACATGAAAAGATGCTCAACATCACTAATTATTAGAGAAATGCAAATCAAAACTACAGTGAGGTATCACCTCACACCTGTGGGAATGGCCACCATCAAAAAAATCTATAAACAATAAATGCTGGAGAGGGTGTGGACAAAAGGGAACCCTCTTGCACTGTTGGTGGGAATGTATACTGGTGCAGCCACTATGGAGAACAATATGGAGGTTCCTTAAAAAACTAAAAATAGAACTACCATATGATCCAGCAATCCCACTCCTGGGCATATATCCAGAGCCAACCATAATCTGAAAGGATACAGGCACCCCAACGTTCACAGCAGCACTATTTACAATAGCCAGGACATGGAAGCAACCTAAATGTCCATTAATGGAGGAACAGAAAAAAATGTGGTACATACAATGGAATATCAGCCATAAAAAAGAACAAAATAATGCCATTTGCAGCAACAATGGATGGACCTAGAGATTGTCACACTGAGTGAAGTAAGTCAAACAGAGAAAGACAAGTATCATATATCGCTTATATGTTGATTCTAGAAAAAGGGTACAAATGAACTTATCTACAAAACAGAAATAGAGTACAGATATAGAAAACAAAGTTATGGTTATCAGGGGGTAAGTGGTGGGGGAGGGATAAATTGGAAGATTGGGATTGACATAAACACAGTACTATATATAAGATAGATAATAACTAAGTAAGAACACAGTACTATATATAAGATAGATAATAACTAAGTAAGGACCTACTGTATATAGCACAGGGAACTTCACTCGATATTATGTAATGGCCTATATGGGAAAAGAGTCTAAAAAAGAGTTGATATATGTATATGTATAACAGATTCACTTTCTGTACACCTGAAACTAATACAACATTGTAAATCAACTATACTCCCATAAAAATTTTGAAAAACGATCTTTTTAGAATAATGTTGTTTTTTTAAAAAACAAAGGTATTTCTAACCTTTTCTCTTTGAAGGTTTTTTTTTTTTTAATGATATGGATTATAGAATTAGATAAAATTACTGATGAAACTCCTGGGACTGTATTGCTAAAGAGAACAAAGGTGACAAAGCAGACTTCAATTGACCATAACAAAACAGGTAACTGGCAGAATACTTACTAGTTTTCATTTCCGGGCTTAAAAAAATAACTACCTCTAGCAAAAGAACATTATTTAGGGAGATGAAAGACATCTCTACAGGGAAGAGAGGAGAGTGTTGTATTAGATTTTTTAAAGGACATAGGAAATGAAGAGAGGCAGCTAAATGGTTAAAATTGATTTAGAAGAAATGCAAAATGTTTTGATTCACTCTTAGTGGTTCACTGTTAGTTTTATTTAATCTGAAATGCTTGTGAACCAAATTATAAACTAGAATTAATGATTTTTTAAATTTTAATCATGAGTGTAAAATTGGGAGAAAGAGAACACAACATAGTTCTATCTACCTCCCCAAAGGAAAGAAACAGTGCACACTATATTCCAACAATTAAAAAAAAGCATTAAAATGCTTTTTTTGTAAATCAAATCATATTTAAGATATGTAAGTAAAGTCAGTAATTTGAAGGAACTTTGCTGAATCTCACAGATATAATTGGCTTCAAATCCTAGTTTGGTGACTTTCTAGCTGTGTGAGCTTGGCCAAAGTATTTACCTTCCTGTGCCTCAGTTTCCTCATCTATAAAAGAGGTCTGAGGGCTCCTGCCTCATAGAATTGTTGTGAGGATTTAATGAGATAATGGAAAGGAAGTGCCTAAAAGAGGTTCTGGGACATAATAAGGGCTTTATAACTGATAGTAAGGATAACAACCATCTCTTTATTTCTTTAGCTTGAATTTTCATATAGAGTTTGCTAAATTGTAGTCTTCCCTTAAATATTAAATATTCTCTATTTCTATGCAGAACCCCACACATTAAATATACTCATTATTTACTGTGAACTATTAGATCCTTGTCTTTTAACTCATGCACTAAGTACTGCTGTTTAAATACTAGTTAACCTAGAAAGGCTAGACAGACTATAAGAAAGGAATAGTCAATTTGTCCCTCAGGATGATAGATTTATGACATCTGAATCATATGCACAATTATTAGGAATCTGACTATTTCTGAAAAATCTGTACACTTTACAAACACACATAAAGTTCTTACAACTCCTGGTTACAGTTTCATTAGAGTTCCCATGCTGGTAGCTCTCAAGGTGCAAAGAGTTCCTTTGTAACAGAGAGTACTGGACTGATTACATACACTCATCCCAAGAAATCAGAGCAGAAAGTTGAAGCTACAGGCATTCATTTACAGTCAAAAAATTTAAAGAGGATGTTCGTCGTAGGCAGCTGCCTAATTCTTTTTGGTATAGGTGTGTGTGTTTGTCCTGAATAGAAAGAATAACATGTCCAAAGGCAAACAGTGGAAATAATTTTAACTGTTCTTCAAAGAGAGCAAATACTCAGTACTGTTACTACTTTCAATTCTAACATCAAATCACGAATTCCTTTACTTTTCCCATCTTGTGTTCACCCACACAAATATCTAAGAAACATACTTGTGTTCTTTGAATTTTAGGTCATCACTTTCATAAACATTCTTCTGTCTACCACAAGCTAGAAAGCCACATTTTGGCAACCTTCTCTTAAAATTAAAATATTTTGGTGAGTACTAGGTGGAGAAGGACCAGCTTGGAAGGCAGATGCACACACCTTGGCCCTGGGCCATACTGGCATGAAATGCTGCTCTTCATTTCTGTGATGCTCAGCGGTGCAAATCTATTCCATGTTCCCATAGCCACTAGGAGGTCCTGTCTAGAAATGGCAGGGGATTCCAGAGGCTTTCTCAGGAAAAAGATTTGAGTCTGGATGTGCACCAAATATTCTCTTTAACTCTCCAGGGTTGAGTTTTGGGTACTCTGTTTAGTCTGGGAAAGATTTCTCTTTATGAAGACAGCCCAAAGGGCTAACAGATGTACCTAATGACAATGGTGGTTGGCCACTGGTGAAGCTGGAACGCAGAATTAGTGCTTAGATGGCAAATACCGCTTAGAATCAAGCTTTAAAAAAGTGTGTGTGGGTTTCTACCAGCACCGAACACACGTGGGGAGACTGTAATCATGGGCACATTGTGTATCTATGGGTGTAAGTGAAATCTATTATTTATAGAATTAGGGTCAGCTTCTATGCTTTTACTGGAATTCAGAGGCACTGAAGGTGAATTAAGTAGTCTTGGACTCTATAAGGAGGCCGGCCACGTGCCATGCTTAATGCTGCATCTATGGGCTGGTGCCATTTCTGGAGTATACTGGAATATTCCAGAAGAGCTTGCCTCCTTTATGGAAAAGTGACTTCTATGAGTGAGTGTATGGGGAAGAGAAGAAAAAAATTATTCTATTGGTTAATCTCCTAAAATAATTAATGCTCTTCAATTTAAGAAATATTAGTGCATGACTGTGCCAAGATTTAGGGAACTGTAAAAAAAAAAAAAAAATGAAGACAGAGTCTCAAACAGCAATCAAGCAAAATAAGATCCCTACATCTCAGGAGCTCACACTTTACTGCTGAAACAGGCACATGTGCAAATAATTAATAATAATAGCTACCATTTGTTGCATACTTCATATGTATCAGGCTCTGTTTTATACCTGAACTAAATCTAATCCTTAAAATAGCCAATGAGCTAGGTGCTGCTATAATCTCCATGTACAGTTACGGAAAGAGAATGGTAAAGTAACTTTTTCGAAGTCACAGAACGGGTAAATGGTAGAGCTGTCATTCAAACCCAGGGTATCTGGCTCAAGAATCCAAGTTATTTACCAGAGCTTCTGCAATTAAAGTATAAGTGGTGCTACTATAACTGAGTTCGTATAAACAAAGGAAATAGAAAAGGTGGTATGTAAACTGGATTTTGAAAAATGAGTAAGACAATGACAGTAGGGCACTGGGAAGAGGAGCATTCCAGGCACAACAGCAGCAGGAAGGAGGTGCTGGGCGTGGCCAAAGGAGGGTAAGCAGACCAACGTGCCTACGTTGTTTCTAGATTGTGAAGACCCTGAGTGCCAGGCTAAGGAATGGGGCTCCTTCCTCCTTCCCCCTCTTTAAAATACAATAAAGGACATTCATGAGAAAGCTTTTGCTACGGGAAATAACAGAATCACACTTGCAGGGATGCAGAAGAATAAAAAGAAATATCATGGGCAAACGGGGAATCGAGGGACCTGCTCCTTTCCTCCTTTTTGAGCATCCCCAAGAGAGGCAAAGCACTGACCTCGTGATCAAAAGAAGGCACCGTACTCTAGGGCAGAAAATAGTTTTGCAAGCCAGCTCTGATTAGCTCCTAGAATCTTTCTGAACTGATGTCTGGAAGGTTCTTAGGCTGCATCCTGGCTCAGGTAACGGACGTCTAATCACCTGGTGATGTCTGCCATGGGTGCAGAAAGCGGCAAGAGCAGGCATGTGTGCTGTCTCTGTTCCGGATGATGGCTGCAGAACTAAGCCTCCTTTTCTGTTCCCCAAGTCTACTTTCTGTGAAGACCAACCATCCATGACCCCCGAGCTTGTGAATACCACTCTTCAAAAAGCTCGCTTCAATAATGACTTAATTCTACTCTGCGCTTGGTCAGCGCTTATGGTTCAGAACACATTCATAATCTGTTTCAGAGAAATGGCATGTGTTGAAATGATCCAGTTCTGAAGATTCTGAGGAGTAAGAAAAATTAAAGGGCACAAGAGGCACCATGGAGGCACACTCACCTTTTTCGCCCCTTGTTCCTCTTCCACACCGTCTCCTATGACAACATATACCACTTTTCTTCCAAACCTCTGAATTATCCTCTCAAAACAGCTTTCCTTTCCTAATGAACAAAAGTACATTGTGAAAAAATGTAAAGTTTGAGTAAGTCAGCACTCTAGGGCTTAAACTTTTTATATAAAATGCTTTTTCCATGCTTCTGATCCAAGTCTATCGTACTTGTGCAAACTAGGAGAAGAGTGCTTTTATATGCCATTTGGGGAGCATGTAGAACAGCACAATACGGCAAAAACTGTACATGAACGACCCATGTGGTGTCCTGTCCCTTGGGAATGGACAATTTTAGTACTTTGTCTCCCCCAAGACTCATTTATTAAAAAGTAGAATCTAGATCTCAGTAGAGCATTTGGTGGAAAAAGTATTGTTTGGAAATAGTACTTTTCCCCCTACAAGCTGAGACTAAATGAAAGCATGCCATTCTGGCAAGATATTTTAACTTGACTTAAAAAATGTTTCATGATCTATCAAACTCTGAACACAGTATCTGATCGAAAGACTGTTGACAAGGATGAACAAAACCGAAGGATTGGTTTTGTTACAGCAAGAGAAATCCAACACTGGACTTAGTTTATCCCTTCATTTTCAGGTTGGGATGCTCTTTGAATGAAAGACACCCTCCCCCCACCCAGGCCTAATGCGTTGACCTGAAATATTCTTGGAAAACTGTTTCTGAAATGAATGTCAGGTAATTTGGCACCCTACAAGAGAGAGCGTGCTTACCTGGCCCAGACACCTAATGCTCAGTAAAGCGCTTTCCTAGAGGAAAAGTGGGATAAAGGTAACAGGATACCTGTACCTATCTATTATCTTTCCCATGTCAAGACTTAGTTTAGGCGCCCGTGGCAGCTACACTGTAGGCACGTCCCTGTAGTTAATGCGGCCATTGTTGCTTCTTGGAGCAGGAACTGGGGTTCCAAGTCCTGGGCTGCCAATAAGGTCATTTTAATGGACAATGGGACAGTTTATAGGTTTCAAATGTGAATGGCTGAACGGGGCCTGTACCTCTTTCAAATAAGGATCAGATATACACACGAACAAATTGCTTGTTTGCTTAAACAAATGTCTGCTTTATATTTGTATTTTGCACTAAAATCTCTACTTTGCATCTGACAGAACGAAATAAGGCCAGCCTTCTTCAAAGGATGTCATTTCAATGCTTCTTCAGTTGCCCACTAACCTGTGAAATATTAAATCACCTTGAGAAACAAATACAAAGGATGGTTTTCACTGCAAAAAAATATGTAACCAAACAGTCAGATGTCATGAAACTTTCTTTCCCTGCTTAGAGGGAAATGTTTATGTGGCTTTGTAAAGTTTCCTTTTCGTGGAAAAAAGGAAGGTAAACTCAATGTTATTTAAAAGTAAGTCCCCAACCTTTTTGGCACCAGGGATCGGTTTCATGGAAGACCATTTTTCCGTGGACCGAGGGGGTGGGGGTGGGGGGTGGTCAGGGGCCGGGAGATGGGGATGGTTCAGGCAGCAACCCCAGCAATGCTTTGCTCCCCCTTCCGCCGCTCAGCTCCTGCCGGTCGTGTGGGGCGGGGAACCCTGGCCTACGAGGAAAATTCCTGGGTGGTTTTCTGCATTGATCCCCAAATTAGATCTCATTTGATGGCAAAACTCGCAGCAACTTACAGGAGTTTCAATCCCTACTTCTTTTTTATTAAAAATATCATGGAAAAGTGATTCTACCTATGGTTTTGAGATCGTTTCTACCACCGTACAATTTTTAAATCAAATTTTTATTCTAGACTGAAAACAATTAAAGAAGTCCAATATGGCAAACAAAATGCCCATTAAAAAAATACTTTCTTGATTGTTATTGTAACTTCCTATTATCCTCGCATTTTCAAATTATTTGGGATTAAAGTTCAATGTGCATGACGTGTAATACGCTAATTGTTCTTTTCTTCTGGGAAGTTAAGTGCTATCCCTTCTGTATTATATGCTCATCTGGAATATGTTCTTTCTTTCATGTGCTGATAAACCTTTCCCTTGGATCCTTGTTTACAAAACACAATGATTCCTCTTTACTGATACAGATAGAATAAAGACCTGAGTTCGTGGAAACTGATTGCTGTTTTATATGACACCATATAAAAATTCAAGTTCTATTGGGCTACTAGGAATTCTATTTGGTATACTCCTTTCGTTTTATAAGTATTTTCCAGTATTCTCTCCTTGGCCCTTCTCAGGAGGCATCAGTCATTCTCAAACTCCAACTATTTCCAACTTGACAGGGCTATCTGAATATCCCATAGGTTTTTCAAACTCACATTGGTAAGATCAAACCCTTATTATCTTTGCCATCAAACCTGATTTCCCCATCAGCTAACAGTGTCACTGCTGACCCAGTTGCCTAAAAGAAACCTCTGTGTCAGCCTTCTTCTGAATAAACAACCATTTATTCACCCATTTCATTCAACACTGATTGAGTACCTACCATGTGCTGGGCCCTGTAGCCACCATGATGAGTGAGATGGACAGACTCAGTTATCAAGGAGACTATGAACAAATAACTGAACAAGCAATATTTTAGTGACAATTTAGTAAGTTCTTTGAAGGAGAAGTGCAAGCCAAATAGATAGGGGTTCTGTTTTGCACCTTTTTCTTTAGCCAGAAACAACCTTCTTTCCACCTACCAGGATACTCATCCTCCTTTCCTAGGACTCACTTACATAACATTCATCTCATTAGGGCAACATACGAGGCCACTTATGATAAGACCCAAGTTTACCTTTCCAGCATCAGCTTCCCATGGGCCTTGCATATTAGTCACCCGGGACGACTCACAAGTCCCTCAGCAGGGAACACATTTTAATTCCTCCATCACTTTGTTCTCACTAGCCATCTGCCTAGTAAACTCTTATTTACCCTTCTCTACCCAGCTCAAATGTCATATCTTCCCTTTACTCTTAACTGACACGTGCCCTCTGCTGCCTCCTGGGTGGGAGTGAATGCTCTCCCATTGAAGTGCACATTTGGGCACTTAGTGGTAGGACCCCTTAGGCTGTGCAAGGGAGTCTGCTGGACCTTGGAATCAGAGAGATCTACTTTGACCTTAACTTAACTAGCTGTTAACTTGAACAATTAAGTCTCTGCGCTTTAGTTTTCTCAGCTGAAAAATGGAAAGGCTTCAAAGACTGACTTTAATATGTAAAATGTTTAGTACAATTCTGAACATCTAGTAGATACTTGATAAATGCTTATTTACATAACTACTTTGTCATATTATAGTTATTTTGATGTCTGCTTCCCCTGCTAGAGATAATGAACTGCCTAAGGAAAGAGCCATGTCTTCTTTTTATCCCGACTTCTGTTTTGTCTTGGTTTATATCTTAACTAAATTTCCCATTAGTCTTCTTTCCCAACTACATTTCCTCCTTGCAAGAATTTTTTTGATCCCCGTAACAAAAATGGGAACTCAATCATTTATACATGTTGTAAAATAAGGTGAAAAAAATAGTTCCAGTAATAATAATTTATTATTAGAGTTGTTTAATTAAAGCTGCTATTAGTTATTTAATTTCTACTTTGTATATTTCTATACAACTACTTGTTTAAGCTTATAAAATATTTTCATTGATGTTGCCTAAGAGAATAAAAATAAGGTAATAACCTAGAAGTGATGCTAAGTTGCCTATAGCTAAAACGCATAGGTTTTAATGTTCGCCAGTAAAGTAAAATTTTCTGAGTTCAACTACATGGATTGTGCTTTATATTTCTCTTGATATCTAAAGCCAATTTTGACAATAAAATGGGTTAAATCATTCTTCTAGTTTTCTGATATTTAGCATTCTGAAAAAAGTAGTCCTGTTTATTGCCTTTCATTTTTACTAGCCTGAAAGCAAAGGGTTGACTGTTAAATTAATTAATTAAAAAGCAGCTTACCAATTTTAGTTGCACTGTAAATATTTTCTATGGGAAATACAATTCCTAATCCATACAGCAGGACTTTTGCCAATGCTGGGATAAGCTGAGTAGTTGTTACTAAAATATTAACACAGTTCGTCCTGTGAGAACACAAAGAAAAAAAAAGACAGTTGAAAATTAAATCTCCAAAATGAACATGCACAGCTCGTTTTCAGGCAAAGGCACTTCGTATGAAGTGACCTGGGGAGAACTTACCGGGAGTGAATGAGTGTGAGAGCTTTCAGGGCCAGTGTCAACCAGGAGTCTGTCAGGGCTTCAATCTCGGCCCTCAGCTGCAACCAGGCTTCCCTCTTAGCTGGACCAAGCAGACCTGTGGATTTAAAAGCACGTGAACTACTTCCTCACTAACGTGTCTCATCAACTTTATAAACAGTAAACACTTAAAACTACTCGAATACTACCCTCAAGCTTTATAATATACTAAGCAATTTTTCACATTATCATTCATTTGACAAATATTTAGCACGTGGGGAACATCTATTGGTTTTGCATTCCTAGCATCCTTCTTCTGGCTACAGACGTCATCTCTTCTTTTGGGGGAGCCTACTCTCCCCCATTCCTCCAACCATGAAGATTGAGCAGAGCAGACCCTACCCTCTGGCTCCCAGAATAGCCATATGTCCTCAGCTTGGCTAGTGAAAGGCTGTTTTGGAACTTTTGCTCAATCTATTGGGAAAGACACTTTCCACCCCATGGAGGTGCTAGACTGGTAGCATATAAGACTGGGTCTACTGGTAGGCACGTTTGCCACCTTTTGGGAGGCGGTAATTTTCCAAAGGAAATTACAGGCCAAAGATTACTGATTGCATCATCTGAGCATCTGGATTTAGCCATGCCAGAAACCAACACCACCTAAACTTTTCATTAGGTCAATATGTTCCTTTTCATACCAAAGCCATTTTGAACCACAATCAAAAGATCCAAGCTAATGCAAACATCTACCCGGTAGAAGGAGCTTTACGATTCGTCTTAAGTCCTTTAGGCAGGAGGTCAAGAAACTTACTCCAGGTCACACCACTACTAAGGAATGGAGCGAGGACTAGACTAGCCTGGCCAGGGCAGCTGGCTCTAGTCTGTTACTTCTGTCACTCAGTCACAGCAGAATAATCACTGGTTAGATGAAACGGCTCTCAAAAAAAGCTATTCTATCCAAAAAAGTGTGACGTCAAATAAAAGTGTGTGGTACTTTGAGCATCTTATCAAGACTATCTTAACTAACCCAGTAACCTACTGGTGATAGTCACTTGCCTCCAACATTATTTTTGTAGGTATTGTAGATCTCTTTTACTCGTCTGTAACGGAAGGCCAACTTTCTCATCCAGTCTACACCGCCACGCACACCAGTTGCCAAGCATAAATTAGCGCTGGTTGCCGCAGCAGGAAAGCCATCTGTTCCAAAGTTATATGTGCTATTTAGATGCAAGAAAAGCCCAAAGTTAACCAAACAGAAACTTCATCTTAATAAGCTGAGCAATTAAGCTATAACATGGAGCCCATCACTTCCCATTCATGGGCTCACCTTAGGTCTTGTCCATTGTCATCTGAAGAGACATCATCTATATGAACTTGGTCACATTCCTAAAATGCAATGAAAATGATACACGTTAATTTTCAAAAAGCATCTACATTTATCTACATTTTTTGGAGGGGGGAAAATCCACACAAGCCTGTTTAAAAAAAAAAAAGCCCGAACACTGTAATTGGAGTGTTTTCCAACCACGGCAATCAGTAGGTGGCAGTCTAGTTAAATTGACATTTTTACCTACTTCGGGTCCTTTTACAATATAAGAAACGAGCAATGTCATTAAGGACTACTGTTATTCGGGTTCAGAAAACACATTTTTGTGTTTAGAAAGGAAAGTGATTGATTGAAAACAATTAGCATATGTGTTTCATAAACCTCAGGTACCTGAAGACATCGTGCTGCTCCGAGCTGATTCAGTCAATGCCGAAGCGTAACTGAAACCAGACATTTCGGTAAATCTAACATGCTAGAAAAATTAAACCTGATGCTAACTGCCAATGAAATTATGACCTCTGATTGCTGTCGAGCCACACACCAACACAGCCTGAGGCCAGCGTGTGGAGGAGCCCAGACTAGAAAATCTGTTACTGGTTTGCCATTGATTTGAGAGATGCAAGTTTTATTCTGTGTGTGTGTGTGTGTGTGTGTGTGTGTGTGTGCGCGCGCGCGCGCGTGCGTGCGTGCATGTGTGTGTAGGAAAAAAGCATGGGAGACTTCACAACCTAAATAAAAATAATCAAACCACGAGGTGTTTTTTTTAGTTTTTAAAACTTTTTAACTTTTTTTACCTGTTTCACTATTATTACATATTCATTTTAAATATCGGATTGATGAGTTGATTATAGAATAATACGAGTTGAACAGACCTGATTTTAAAATCCCAATCCATGTGTAAAGTGTTTAGAATAGGAGGTGTAACTGTGGGTTAAAGCTCAGTTGGACGGGTTCACGTTGATACACCTGCTCACATATAAGCACGCCCACATCTTACTGCTGTGTCCCCAGCCCCCAGCATCATTGTGGGAAGAGCAGACACTCAGTAAATGTTTGTTGAACAAATGAAGGCAAACTAATTTGGAGACAGACACGGTCCCTAGTCCAGAAACGAGTAACACACACTTGGCATGCTTTAATGTTTTCAGTTATGATTCTCCTCTTGGCAGTCAGCCTCCAGGTACCCCAGAGGCCGTTCTGACACTTATTTCCATTAAAAGTTTTAGTTAAAAAAATTTTAAAAGAAATTTTCAGGCATGCATCCTGTATTTTAAAAATGTTCTTCAGACTAAAGCTCTGGTTATCTTTCCTATAGAGTTAATTTTATAGAATCTAGCCTATCTGTCCCTCTAATGCTTCACATCCAACGTATAACAAGATGCCATAGGTAAGCACCACAGGAATAGAAGGTGTATTTTTATGTTGCTGGTTCCTTCTGAACAAATTCTTTTCTCTCCATGGATTTGTGAGGAAAAGAGCAGGAGATAGAAGTGGAAAGAAACTCAAACCAGCTGTTGCTTAACAGAATTAAAATCCTGACCCCCCAACCTCTTCTTTCTAAAGCATCTATTTTCCAGGCAACCCTCTCCCAGCAAGCAGCAAGTTCCAAGGAGGAAAGGACTTTGACCTTGTAACCCTCCCCTGCTCTCCCGAGGTCCGTAACCCCAGATAAGAAAAAAAAAGAATAAAAGTCTAGGAGGCCTCACAGGCAGGACTGTGAATTTAACATTTAAAAAAACAGGTCATTCCTGCAAAACATGTTTGGAAACTTCTCAGAGTTATTCATTATACATAATTCGGAGGGTGAAAGATGAATGATAGTTGTGTTTTTTCAACAACGTACTCATTCTGGGTTTAAAGAATTACTAAATCATGACTTTCTGCTATCTAGCCATTTATCTAGCCAGAAATACAAAAATTACGCTGTTGGTAAACTACTCTTTTAGGGTGCATGGTTAGTTACAACACAAACAAATGCAGAAAAGTGTACTCCCCGCAAAGAAACAAAAACCCTAAAGCCTTAGCGCCGCAGTGGAGGATTTTTCTCTCTTGGGAGAGAGAACGGAGAGGAGGAGGAAGTTGAGAAATTAGAAGAGGAAAAGATATGTTAAAGAGAATTTAATTCAAGGAATCAACGGTGACCTAAAGTTACTTGGTTAACTCTAGGGGTGGGAGGAATTCTTTGCAAAAACAGGGTGTTAAGAGGCTTTTCTTAAGCTAATGCTCTTGAAAATCTCCATTACTAACAGAGCAGCCGTTATCTTCTAATGACTGTTGATGACTCTACCGTGGCTATTGTCCATCCACATCCTGTATTTGTTTTCTCCTGCCAGCTTTCCTTAAGACTTTTTGTTCCCAGGCTGAGGCCCTCATTTGAAGTATTGTTCAATATCTTGGTTCGTGCTAAGTGTCAACAGCTTCCAGCTTTTTTAACTGCAGGTAACCAAACTCACTTCACGGTGATTTGATTAAAGCAAAGTTTGGTGTGGTGGCAACAAGGAAATCCAGCTAAAAGCTGGAGAATTTTTGTAGAACAATTTTAATCAAAATAGATTTAAAAAATCAAGAGCATTTTTTGAAAGAGCCTCGTTAGCACTTTCAGGAATTAAAACATCGTTAAAATGTCTATGTAAAATGTGTTTTTGGAATGGGTGCTCATTTTACTTAACAATAGACAAGTACTATGTTGCACAGACTTGGAATTGATAAGCGACATATTAAAGATGCATCCCCGCTGAGTCTCTGTATGAGTTTACAAATAATGGTATAAATGTCTTGGGAAACAAGCTATGTATTTAAAAAAATTTTAATGAGAAACTATAATATTACTTTTGATGCTTACCTATGAAAAACTTTAATTCCTTAAAGAATGGAGAGCATTAAGATACTGAAAGATCATTTCATTTCCCAGCAGAGCCCTGTTACGTGTGAACTTGTGCTAAGTGTCTTCACCCTCAAATTAGAAACTGCAGTTCCCTACATTCTGATATCCTGCAGTTGTCTCCTCTGTGGGGATGAGGCTCCCCTTCTCCCACTTTTCAGAAGCCATCTAGCTTTTTGTTTGTCTTCCTAAGAGCCTAATTTGAGGTTTTCATTTTTGCTTTCCAAATTTGGTTGCTTTTAGTTTCCAAATTCGTCATAAACCGAGACAATTCGGTAACTGAGGGAGGGAGCAGAGGGGGCTCTGCACCCACTGAAACAACAACAGCAACAAAGTTTAAATCCCCCACTGGTAGACACAGAAGACAATAATGGAAGCTTTCTGTATTTTCACGTGCCAAAATATATCCCTACAAGCCCTAATTTAATGCTTAATACGCAGAGTGCAGATATATAGAATTCCACAAGAAAATACGTTTTTATTCCTAAATGCTGAAAATGTACTTTTGAAATAAACTTCCAAAAAGTATGTGATAGGATTTTAAGGAGCATGTCATTACCGAATCCAAGTCTTGGGGTGGCATCCACATGGGGGGCTCCCACTGCCAGCTCAGCCAATTTAGCGTATTTCACGCATTAATCAGTCCTACTGAGACTTGAGATGCCTAAGGGACCCCTAGCATATATGGGTGTGAGGCTTGGGGTCTCACTTGGGGACACACAGTAGTGATTTTCTGGACTCCTGGCAGACTTTGCACTCAATACCCATCCAAGCAGGCTAATGGGTGCCTTGGATTAAAAAGGTGATCATTTATTTATTCATGTGTCTGATTATTTATTAAGGGGTGACTGTTCTGGGTATTGTTCTAGATGCTAAGGATACACCACTTAACACAAAAATCCTTACCATCTTGGAACTAACATTCTAGTCGGGAGAGACACCCGAACAAGAAAATACGCAAAATGTACAATCAGGCAGTAATAAGTGCTAAGGAGAAAAAATACAGCAGGTGAGGGGAATATGCAAGGCTGTGGTGGTATCTGGGGAAAGAGCTTTGCAGGCCAAGGAAAGAGCACGTTCAAAGGCCCTGAGGCGGGAGGGGAAGAGTTACATGGGCCAGCAGGTGACAAGTGAGGAGCTGGCTCTGCCTTGGAAGTAACATCAAGTTATCAGTCCCTGCCCTCAAGGCACCTACAGTTTAGCAGGAGGGCCAGAAGTTAATTTAACCAGCTACACATGTGCTAAGTTAATTACACTTGTGGTAAATGCTGCAGAACCTCCCCGGAATCCAAAGGACTATCCTCTCGGAGAAACGGGAGCCCTCCTGCACCGCTGGTGGGAATGTAAGTTGGTGCAGCCACTACGGAGAACAGTATGGAGGTTCCTCAGAAAACTAAAATTAGAGCTACCATATGACCCAGCAATCCCACTCCTGGGAATATACCTGGACAATACTATAATTCAAAAAGATACATGTGCCCCTATGTTCATAGCAGCACTGTTCACAATAGCCAAAACGTGGAAACAACCTAAATGTCCATCGACAGATGAATGGATAAGGAAGGTGTGGTACACATATACAATGGAATACTACTCGGCCATAAAAAAGAATGGAATAATGCCATTTTCAGCAACATGAATGCAACTAGAAATTATCATACTAAATGAAGTCAGAAAGAGAAGGACAAATATATGATATCACTCATATGTGGAACCTAAAATATGGCACAAATGAACCTATCTACAAATGAACACAGGCAGACTCATAGACATGGAGAACAGACTTGTGGTTGCCCGGGGTTGGGGGCGGGGGAGGGAGAGGGCTGGATTGGGAGTTCGGGTTGGTAGATACAAACTTACGTTTGGAATGGATAGACAACAAGGTCCTAATGTATAGCACAGGGAACTATATTGTATATCCTGTGATCAAACATAATGGAAAAGAGTATAAAAGAAGAATGTATAGATGTACACGTTTCCCAAAAAATAAATAAATAAAAACAAGGGACTATCCTCTTGCTGAATGGTGGAATTCTGTTTAGTCCAAGAGGGTTGCAGAGCTCTGAAAAACTGAAATTATAGTTTGCTACATCAGAGAGGGACAGCCTGGCCCACTGTTTATTCTGGTTGCTTTTGTGATTAAAGTAATCAAATACAGACATACATGGTGGACAGCTA